GTGTGTGTGTGTGTGTGGCTGAAAAATGATCTTTCAGAGGTAGTTCATAATTTAAATATTCATTTAGAATGCGAGAGGTAAAATAAGGATTTTAAAAAGAAAAGAGTAAATGCTCCTTACTAACAGAGTGAAAGTTTTTATTGATGATGAAGATGACGACGAACCAAATCGAGGTTGGAAGGAGAGCTGAAACAATTAGTCGATTCAGAAAAATAACTATTTTGATAATCAATAAATCGGCTTATTTGTGAGGATTTGCTGCCTTCATCTAATGTGATGAATATCTTTGGATTGTCAGACAGAAAAAATACATTTTAACACGTTAATTTGAGCTTTATTTTGGAAATCTTTCCAGAATAAGTCCCTCCCCTTCCACCTTATTTTGAAAGTACAAATATGTACGGTAGTCAACGGTGAGACACAAATCATTTTATGATCCTGTTTAAATTGTGTTTGTCAATTTAAAGTCAAGACATTTTGTTGTAGTGTCATTTCGTTTTGTCTCTGCGTCTCTCGTCACCAACACTAGCTTAGCTTAGCTACGTTCCACGCACAGACGTAACTCTAACTTACCTGATCAGTGTCATCCAGCGACTCCTCGTCTCTTTTCTAATTTATTTTATTTCAGTCAACATTCCAGAATCTGTTTGTTTTGTGTGTGCGTGTGCGTGTGTGCGTGAGACGTACAATATCTCATTCCTACATGTCTTCACCTTCCCTCCGTTAACTGGACTCTATGTAAACGCTCATCTTAAACGGTCATTGTTGCATGTGTGTATCCACGTGGAATATGTCATAAATAGCCTCTAAATAACCCTTTGTGTTCCCCGTGTTTGTACATTAATATATTAACGATATATATATATATCGTTAATATATTAACGATATATATATATATATATATATATATCTCAAAATAAACTTTAAAAACACCGATTTTTAATTATATATATATATATATATATATAATTAAAAATCTGTGTTTTTAAAGTGTATTTTGATGCAGTACTCGCATGCTCACATGTAAAGTCACGGGTCGTCCCGTCCATACTGGCTCCTTTGTACTGCGACTACACTGTAAGAAATAGATGACAAAAGAAATGTTCAGTGTAAAAAATGAAACTCTAAAGTTGAAAGCGGGGGTGTGTTAAAATTAAAGTACTAGTTTGTAAGACGTATAATCCAACCACACGCGATTATTTTATATTTAAGGATAACATCAGTGCAGTTGTGGAAGAAATCGTCTACTTCAGTAAAAGTACTAATACCACACTGCGAAAAATACTCCTGCATACAAAACCTTACTCCTAGTATTATTATCTCAGTAAAGGTATTGATAGATCAGTGAGAAGAAACTAAAGCTGTCAGACAAATGTAGTAAAAATTACAATATTTACCTCTGAGAGGTTGAATTGTAAAGCTACATGAAATAGAAATACCCCCCCCCCTCCCCCCTCGATTTCTTACAGTGTAGTCATGAGACAGCATGAAGAGACAAAGTATTCTCTCTCAACACACAGTATGACATGTGAGTATTATGTTTAAAATAAGCTTGAATGCAGCAGCAGGGTTGTGTAGGAGTCGCTCTGTGTTACGTTCGCACCATTTCTGTCTCTTTCTTCGTCTATTTTGATTCCATGTTGTGCGTTTGATTCGCTCAGTGTTATCATCATTGCCATATTCCAGGAGAAGTCTTTGTGAGTCTTGAGTAAATATTTTCAGCTGTTTACTTTGTATTTTAGTTTTGTTGCAATAAGTTCATTTCTATGGTATCAGAAGACTAAATGTAAAAAGATAATCATTACTTTGTACTGATGGAGAGAAATGTCTGGATGCGTGTATTAATATGACGGCTCAGAGCATCATTTGAGGATGTAGTTTATTGGAAATCGGTTTTCAGGAACAATAACGCTGTTACTACAGAAGTTAAGAGATATACAGTTTAACAAATTCCTCTTTCTGTCCGGATTACATTTCTTTAGAACTTCTCTATTTTATTTTTTTGAATGCTGCCATTTTTTTTTTTTTTTGGGTGCGTTGAGAGACTCCATTCCATTTAACACCTTCAATAATCAAGTTTCTTAGAAAATAAACTCAATCCTGTTCTAAAATGTGTTCTTGTTGTTTGTCTCCTCTATTCCCATACAGACATGTTTCAGTACTGTGCTCAGTACTTGTACTTTGTGTTTTGAGCTGTCGGGGGATTTTCCTGCTCTCCATAACGGTTGATGAAACAAAATTATGAATTATATTTACACATATCTAAACCTGTATACAACAGTGCTTTAATAAATCCTACCTTCATACATGATATTACAGAGAGATTTAGAGGTGTTCATTTAATTTAATGCTCATTTTGGAAGCTTAGTTGTAGTGCTGTTAAGTTATACCACGATATTCTGAGAATCGCTTTCTACCCCATTTATATCACACACATATATTTGTATGTATTGTTATGGTCTGGCTCTGGAACCATAGCAAATGTCATGAAAACTCAGGCAAGGAGCTAACCAAACAAATACTTTTAATAAACAAAAGGCCAAGACATTTCAAATGTGCAACAAAAATGAGCATTCTCGCAATGAATGCCAGAAGGTTCAACTACTGCAACACTGCTTCCAGACGCTCTTTGCAGCACACCAGGTGTGTCAGAGGGGAAGAAGCCACACTTCCTCTGGATGGGGCGGGTCTTATAAGGCGAAGGCAGTGGCCAGCTGCCTCCAATCTTCTTGATGTCACTCTATAGTCACAGTATAGCATGTGGAAAAAAGTCACAGTATAGCATGTGGAAAAAAGTCACAGTATAGCATGTGGGAAAAAAGTCACAGTATAGCATGTGGAAAAAAGTCACAGTATAGCA